TTGGGGAAATATTTGGAATTTATTCATTTCAATTCATGCATTTCCTTGATGGTGCAAAAGTTTTTTCCTTGTTTTACATCAACATCATGTTTGGGATTTGTATTTTTTCCAATCGACATGAATCGCCTTTAGGGATGGCATTCTATCAATTTTTCAATCTTTGGACATTTTTATTTGGATATTATCTGTCGATAAAATTACATTGAAGGATATTTTCTATTATTTTTCTTATTGGAATATTGATAGAGATGGGGGTGGTATGGGCGGGGCTAGAGGAAAGTTCATTTCTATTTTGTAAAATAAATATTTGGTAATATTTGGGATTTATATTTTTTCCAAGCTTTGGGCATCTTCATTTAGTCATTATCTGTCGATAAAATTTAATTGAGGCGTATTTTATTTTTTTTGTGTCGGATTGGAAAATTGGGGAAGCTGAGCGTAGTACTGCGGGGTCAGAAGAATTTCACCTCTTGACACAAAAAATACTAATGTCAATCGTGAAATCAAAATTGTTTATTTTGGAAAATGAATAGTGTTATTTGGAATTTATATCAATATTATTTCATTGCAGACGAAAGGTTTTTTAATGATTTTCTGACAACTTTTCATGCTTGGAAATTTTTATTCTGACATTCCCCGTCAGAAAAATTCAATTGAGAGATCTTTTCAATTTTATTTTCAAATAAAAATTGGGGGAGATGAGATTGAATATCCAGAGACTTTTTCTCGCTATTTAGAGTAGTAAAAGCCTTCATGAAAAATTTATTTGTTCACATATTGACACGGAAAAATTCCGATTTCTCTCATAAAATTAAAATAATCAATATCGAAACAGTTTATCAAAAGAAAAATGTCATTAAAATTTCGTTCAATCGTTGGAATTCGAAAAAGTGAATTAATTATCGCGCCCATTTCCTGCCGCCAGCACTCACAAGTTTCTATTTCCCTCATAAAAGCATCTCGGCTGAAAAAGTTCCGTTCCAAGTAAACGCATTAGACCCTCCGATTCAGACTGCCGAGGAAACCCAATCACAAGCATAAACAGGAAGCCTTAATAGACAGAAAAAAACATCTACCTACTCACGTGTGACAGTGGCGGCAACATCTTCGTGAACACTTAAACACGAGAATGTCAAGACAATTGACGCACAAACTTTTATTCTGAGTAGATGCTTTTGTTTTCGAACTTAACTGGGCGAAAAGTTGAGCGATAGATCACTGAGAGGATGGGGCACTCCGCGGGGACGGGATGGATTGCGTAGGGGCTGCCGCGGGAGCTGTAAACAATTATGCTGATATTCGGAATGTCTTCCAATCCCAAAAGTAAATATAGATTCCTCTGAGAAGATTCGGGATCACAACAAGAATAATGGAATTCCAGTGAAGAAATGAAAATCACTTTTTCAATAAAAACGGCAAGTCCATGATTTTTTTGTTCAATAACAAAAAAATTAATAACTCTTCTAGAAGATTCCTCTGATCGATAAGATATTATCACAGTATAATCAATATATTTTCGCTAATAAATTAGAAACAGCTTAACAAAAGATTGTCGATGGCACGATGACACCGAATACCACAATTTTATTCATCGTAATGTTGATGTGGGAAATAATCCATCAAATACCCCTCGAGCTTCAAAATGAATCGGAGTATTTCCCTCATTACAATTTGCAGTGTATTTAAATTGACATTGACACTGACATTAGATTAAATAAATAATTGGACGCAGAGGCAAGTGAAAAGCGGTAAGAGAGGGAGGTAACTCGGTTCAATCATTAAATTAAAATGGTTAATTTTCGAAGGACCGATTCTAATATTTGGAATCGTTGTTTCCATTCTATCTACAGGAATTGTTTTTGCTGATCATGATATCCTTAATATTGGGCGAGATAACGACTAATTTTCATCTCTATTTGCAATAATGAGGGCTTTCGAGATGGAATTATTTGCAGATATGTCGAAAATTGTTTATTTTGAAAAGTAAATAGTATTATTTATTTATTTTGCCACATGTGTACCCTCTCGGGTCTTTACATTTTGTTCCCATCCCTTAAATACTAAGAACCCTGTTGTGTAATAGTATCAGCATTTTGAGTTACAATCAGTATACAAAATATAAAAGAAAACATAAATGCCATAGGGGCTGTTATCTTAACTAGTAAGGTAAATAGTATTATTTGAAATTTATATTTTTTCAATCTAGAGCTGCTTTTAGGGATGATGGTCTTCTGTTAATTTGTAATTTTTCAAAATTTTACTCCAACATTATCTGTCAGTAAAATTCAATTAAGAGACATTTTCCATTTTTTAAATCTCGAGAAAATCTTTTTATATATCAGGTATTGCGTCAATTTTTCGTATTTGACAATTTTTATTTCAACATCATCTGTCCGTAAAATTCAATTGAGAGATATTTTCCATTTTTTAATTGGAAAATTCGCGATGAGAGTGTCACGGAAGTAATTTATTGCAAAAATTCTACAAAAATCGCTAAATCATCTTCCCTCCAACCAAAAAATCCCAAACAAACAGTTCAATTCGATCCAAACTCGTCATTCCTCTGCGTATAAGCCAAAAAATGTTAAAAAATGAGAAAGCCAGTGAATGCCACCGCGAGAGGATAGCGCAGAACTCCCTAATGGAGTCAACAAACAAAAGTGAATCGATTTGAAATAATGGCACGCAGAGGCAAGTGAAAAGCCGCGAGAGAGGGAGAGAAAGAGAGAGAGTGAGAGAGAACGACATTGAGTGTATACGCGGGGCCCGCCTCGGCGACAAATAAAAGCACTCAGCGTGAGCGGCTTTATCCTTATACAACTGTCAGACGTCTTAACACCCTCTGCTCCTTTGCCCCCACCGCTCCCAACTCTTCACAAGTTCCATTTCATCCCTACTGCCCCCCC